TAGCAATAAATTTTCTATGTCCAGCCTTAAGGAACTTACCACTTTATAAGATTTTTTTGCTGCCAGTTAGGGTTTGATTATTTCATTTTGCACAACTCAACATGGATATTTTTGGTCAATCGAGTTCGTGTATTAACTTTGGGTGGCATGATTGAATTGCTACAGGAAGAAGGAAATGTATCACTTGTATTGGTTGAAGATTGCATGGGTTGTGTTATAGTACAATGTATTTATAAAATTTATTTTGAGAGAAAAAAATTAAAGTGATTGCAAAATTTTAGACTTTTAAGATGACTTTGCATATTCTCAACATTACATAAATACATGTATTAGTTTTTTAAAAGAGCAATGCTAGTTTTACAAAGACAAATACAAAGGGGGCATACAAAGACAATCCTCACCCTTGATTTTCATGATTTCTCTCTCTCTTTCTCTCTCTCTCTTAGTTTTTTCTTTGTTTTTTTCTTCTTACTGATGTCACTTTGTAGCCCTCTTTGTATGGGTCTTTGTAAGGATAGCATTTTTCTTCTTAAAATTATGTCTCTCTCTTTTATTTATGTATATACCTTGGATTTGACATGCTCCATTAATTAATTATTAATGTAATGATTTACCTTTGTACTACTTACACTAAGGACAACTAAGTCAAAACAATAATTTTTATAATTATATACCTATTAAGTTATAACATATTTATAGTAATAAAATTAGTTTGGTCTCATCATTATGATTTTAGAGGTGTTTTACTGTATTTTGTTTTGGTGTGAAATTATTGGTTGAAAGTTACAACTCTTGGTGTCATGTAGGTGAAGAATAAAATTGGTCACAAGCGAAAGGCTTGTTTATTTTACCTTACGAAATATATTTTTGTTAGTAGTATGAAAAATTGGCTAGTTCATATGTTTTAGCGATTCATCCTTCTACGCATTATCGATTTTAATATCTTCCATGATATTTTATCGTTGTGATTTTATTAGATAACAAATTTACCACATAATGTGATACTTAATGAAACAAAATCAACAATTAAACAATATTTTATACATTTATTTTCATTTAACATAATATTTTATTAAACGAACTTGGGCCCATTACCCTTTTTGTTTGCGAAATGATAAAAGTAAACCAAGCTTAAATTAAATAGTAATTCTCTAATATATAATCTGAATACGTCATACATGTATATTATATTATAAAGTTATATTAAAAATATATTTTAATTATTGGATTTGGTAAGGGGTTTTTGGAGAATTTAATCGTTGGGTTTGTAAAGTTAAAATTATTTATGGTCTCAGTGGCCTACTTCATGGAGGATTCTCTTTATCTGGAGGTTTTTATTTGTACAGATTACTTGTATTTTGAGTGATTGTGTCTAATTACTTGAAAGCTCAGTAGGTTGCCTTAATAGATTCCTTCAATTAGTCAATTTTTATCGCTTAATATACTCCTTTAAAGAGCCCACAAAGTGTAATTTATTTAAACTAATAAAGCTTTTCAATCGATCCCGACTTACATCCTACGTGACATAGTAGTAAACTTATAAAATTTGATAATTTGTTTTCTGATTTTGGTCTAAGAATATAAAGTTAGTATGTATAAAAAATTGTTCTTCACGTACTAAGTGAATAGTTGAAAACACTTTTAAGCTTATTGTTTAATGATAAATTCTATAACGTTTATACATGTAATTGCTTTCTAACATGTAAAACTTTTATTATGATTTTATTAGGTTTTTTTTTTTTTTTGGTTAAATAAAAAAAGCTTCACAGTTTCTTGAACTTATATATATATGGTCAAGATAGAAGTTTACTTATGTACCAATTTGTTTAGTATAATAGCCTTTCTTTAAAAATAAAAATAAAAAAAATTATAATCTCCATAATATTACTTTAGACATAATAACATAAAAACTTGATGTGATCTATTGTAATAAAAATATAAATTGATTAAGCAAAACTAAAGAGAGCCTCAAGGAAAATGCGTGTAAAGAAAGCTAAATTTATATTAAGCATTAAAGTTTCAAAATTACATAATCTAAAGAAGCTATTGTTTCTTTAAATGGATCCAAGATTATAGGGTCCGGAGGCAAAATAAATAAAAAAAGAGCAAACAACATGTTCCCACCCAAGCTTTAGCGAAATCCAAGGTTTTCACCTCTCGTTTCATAAATTCGAGATTCCCACCCTTAAATTAACACTATTTGTGATTTTTTGGATTCCTTCACAATATAGATAGCGTTATTACTAAACTACCCTTGAAAAATAAATTAGAAAATTATTTTTAACCCCTAGATTTTGGCTATTCCGGAAACCTTTTCCAGATTTTGGCCTACCCATCGCCCCTACTAGGCATAAAAGGAAGGTCGGTGGACGACAAATGGTAAGTGAGGGAAGCTGATGTGGGTGTGGGTTTTGAAGAGGAGAGAATGGGGGATCGAATGGAGGTGGTTGGGTGAATTTCCGATGAGTGGGGCGATCGAAAAATGGTTGCAAAGATGGAGGTTTGCAAAGTCGAAAATCATCGCCTAACAATCAAAAAGAGATGGGTAGGTTGGCTGGGGCAATTCGTCGAACACCTGATGTGCAGCAATGAAAGATGAGCAAATGGTGGTGAATGGTTGGATTCTCTGACCAAAAACAAGCACACAAACACTCCAATTAAACAGCCAAATAGACCCAAAACTTTAATTGCATAAAAAACTCATCAATCAACATCCAATTCCAACAAACACAAACAAACCCTATGTGGAGTGGTGGACGACAAAAGATGAGTTGTCGTGGCCGGGAAGGTTAGGGTTTTGTAGGAGGGGGGTTAAGGAGTCAACCAGTGGGGGTGGTTGGGGTTTTCACTGCTCAAAACGGTCGAAAACCAGCAAAAAAAGTCACACGATGCGGTTATCGTGACCAGCAATCGGCGAGTAATGAGCGGGGTGGTGAAGGGTGAGGATGAGAGAGGTTTTTGTGAGTGAAGGGTGGGGAAGTTGTAGGTGGAGTCGGGGGTGATGAACGGCGTCAGAATCGAGCTAGACCGACCTAAACCAGTGGTTGCGAAAGTGGAGGTGAGTTGTGCATGGTGATGAATTTGGCCAAAAACCAAGGGTGGAAACATAATTATTTAGAAATTTTCATTTTCATTTTATATTTAATGCAATGTAAAATAGCTATTTTAGCTTTTGAATGTTATATTAAAAAAATTATGTTAATTTAAAGGTGAGAATATTAAATTTATGAAACCAAAGGTGAGAACCATGGATTTCGCTAAACTTTGGGTGGGAACATGGTGTTTACTCATAAATAAATATGAAAGACTCCTAAAGGCTATTTTTGAGCAATTAAAAAGAAATGTATATGTTAAATCACTATGATTACCCCGACTAAACAGCTTAATTAGAAGTTAATTCAATCACTGTAGCTAGTACGCTTTATTTAGGTAGAATTGGAATGTCAATAATCCAGTTAGGGCAAAAGCTATTGATTTAATGCCAATTAATTCAAAACATGGATAGACTAGAAAGTGGATCATGGATGACAGTTGTGCTCGTAAGCATGGACTAATAAGAGATTAATATTACATTTATCTCTAAATAATCGATAACCTTTTCGGTCTTAGAAAAGCTGTGCTCAGTAGTTCACTATGTTTTTAGAATAGACGTGGTAGAAAAGGATGAGATTCTCTATACAACATCTGTGGATCTTCAAATTTTCTAGAAATACGACTAAGGACGAACTCCTCAAAATTTGGTATAAAACAGACGTCATATCTATGAATAAAAAATAAAAACTATTTTATAACTAATTATATACTTGATTAACAAATTGTTTAGAATAAGATTAATTAATTAATATTATTTGTCAATCTATTTTGTTAAAGATAGAAGAAGAAAATGCTGTGTATAATCTCGAAAAGGGTCATTTAAAATTTAATATTGTTCATTTAACAATCCAATTCAATTTTACTAGACTTTGATAGTTCTACCAAAAATATTTTTATAAAGGAAACAAAAATATGACAAATTCATTAGTTACTTAAATACGATAATATTCTAATTCAATATTGAATACGATTAAATTGAAAACTCTTGGCAAGTGTCAGTAATTTAATAATGTGTAACCGAGTAACTCTGTTAAGCTCCTCCATTATTATAGTCTATAAAATACGGGGGACCAAAGACAATTGAAGTAAATGAATGAATTGACTTATGTAAAATAAAATGGAGCAAAAGATGGGGAAAAGTGACATACTTGCCTCTTATTTACCTGTCTATGAAACCTTCTCTTAACAAGTCTTTTTATAAAATTAAAAAAAAATGATAATAAAAGAAAAAGGCAATAATTAACAAGTCTTTTAAAAAACTGAAAATAAAAGAAAAAGGAAGTAAATAATAGAACCATAGAGAGACCCAAAGAAGGGTTTATTGTATTTTTACAATGCAATTCTTCTGCTTGTTTTTGGTCAAACCCAACCCAGACTAGAAGAGAACAAATAGTGGAGAGATAGAACTCATTAAATTCCTAGGTTGCCCTTTAATGTCCGCATTCTGAATAAACCCACATGAAGAACAAGTCACAAAAGGAAACCCAAAATTAATTTGTGTGAGAGTGAAAATAAAATATAAAAATCCTAAATTAAAATAATGTAAATTTAAAGTTATAAAAAAATAATAAAAGGAAGCTACAGACAAGAGAAACTCTTCCCCACAACAAGACCCCAACAACACAAAAGAGAAAAAGAGGAAGAGAAGACATGAAAGTGATACCAAAACTAGAATAAGCTTTTAAAACGCGTGTTAATCACTCTCCAATCACTTGGCAGTGGCAACCAATGTCATGTTAGTGTTTTCGTACGTGGGACTGTTGTGTTAGGACTGTTAGCTCACTGTATCAGTTTCCATCAACAGAGCCATCTTATGTTCCCCACGCGCACATAATTGGTGCGTGCGCAACTAGCTAGGAACTAGAACACAACACTGGTAACAACACTAGTGTTTGTGTTTTCTCTCTCACTCATTTTCTTTTTCTCTGTCTTTGAAATTTTCTCTCCAAACAGCTAAAGAGACCTATAACCACACCCCCACCTAAAAGAAAAATATAAATTTAGATCATGGAGACTCACCGGAAAATAAAATTCCGGCCAAATGCAACAAAAACGCCACCATTTCATCATCACTCCTCTTGAGCCTGATGACCATGAAAGCGAAAGCCTCACATTGAAATATCTGAAATTCCATAAAACACCCTGAGTCCTTATTACTCTTTCATCTCCACCCTTGCAATGGCAACTACCAACACTGCACAAACACCAGCAGTGGACTCACTTTCATCCGACGAGCTTACTGCTAAGGCTGTGCACAAGAGATATGAAGGGCTAGTGATGGTTCGAAACAAGGCTATAAAGGGGAAAGGGGCGTGGTACTGGGCTCACCTTGAACCTATGTTGATAAACAACGCGGACACTGGTCTTCCAAAAGCAGTGAAGCTACGATGTTCCTTATGTGACGCGGTTTTTTCAGCTTCAAACCCTTCACGTACAGCCTCCGAACATCTAAAACGGGGCACCTGCCCGAATTTCAATTCTTTAGCCAAACCCATTTCCTCTATATCTCCATCATCACCCAATCTTGCTTCACCCTCCGGTCATAACCGAAAACGTAGTAGCTCGTCTTCTATTCTTGAAGTAAGTAAAAGTGGTGGTGTTAGTGGCGGTGGTATTGGTGTTGGTGTTGGTGTTGGCTCTTCTTCGTCTTCATATCAGGCAACACCACTAGCTATAGTGGATCCATCGAGATTTCAAGAATTAGCTAGTACAGCAGTAACAGCGAGTGTTGCTGTGGGTTCTTTTATGCCACAACAGCATTTGGTATTATCTGGAGGCAAAGAAGATTTAGGAGCTTTAGCTATGTTGGAATATAGTGTTAAAAAGTTAAAGAGCCCTAAGACTTCACCTGGACCGACTTTGAGCAAGAACCAAATTGATTCTGCTCTTGATTTTCTTGCTGATTGGATTTACGAGTCTTGTGGCTCGGTTTCCTTTTCGAGTCTGGAGCATCCAAAGTTTAAAGCTTTTCTAAGTCAAGTTGGGTTGCCAGCGTTTTCAAGAAGAGAGTTTGTTGGTTCAAGATTGGATTTAAAGTTTGAGGAAGTGAAAGCTGAGTCTGAGGCAAGGATTAGAGATGCTATGTTTTTTCAAGTATCGTCAGATGGGTGGAAAGTTAAGGGTTTTGGTGAAGAGAATTTGGTCAATTTGACCGTGAATTTGCCTAATGGTACTAGTTTGTATAGGAGGGCTGCGTTTGTTAGCGGTTCTGTGCCTTCTAAGTATGCAGAGGAGATATTGTGGGAGACAATAACAGGCATTTGTGGGAATGTTGTGCAACAATGTGTAGGGATTGTTGCAGACAAGTTTAAGGCTAAAGCACTGAGGAATTTGGAGAATCAGCATCATTGGATGGTTAATCTTTCTTGTCAGTTTCAAGGCTTCACTAGTTTGATCAAGGACTTCAACAAGGAGCTTCCTTTATTTAAGACTGCGGCTGCGAATTGCTTCAAGTTAGCAAATTTCGTGAACAACACTGCTCAAATTCGAAATAGTTTTGGTAAGTATCAGTTGCAAGAGTATGGACATAGTGGGTTATTGAGGGTTCCTTTGAGGGAGTATGAGAAGTTGGATAATTTTGGACCTTTATACACATTGCTGGAGGATATATTAAACTCAGCTCGTGCACTTCAGCTGCTTTTATTAGATGAATCATATAAGATGGCATCATTGGAGGATCCCCTTGCTAGAGAAGTTGCGGAAATGATTCGAGAAGTGGGGTTTTGGAATGAGTTGGAAGCAGTACACTCATTGGTTAAATTGATCAAAGAAATGGCTCAAGAGATTGAGACAGAAAGGCCACTAGTTGGGCAATGCCTCCCACTTTGGGATGATCTTAGAGCTAAAGTGAAAGAGTGGTGTTCAAAATTTCACATTGGGGAAGCACCAGTAGAGAAGGTGATTGAAAGGCGGTTCAAGAAGAATTATCACCCGGCTTGGGCAGCTGCATTTATACTTGATCCACTTTATTTGATTAGGGACACTAGTGGGAAATACCTTCCACCATTCAAATGCTTAACACCTGAGCAAGAGAAGGATGTGGACAAGCTAATAACACGGCTTGTTTCAAGAGAGGAGGCTCATATTGCACTAATGGAACTCATGAAATGGAGAACAGAAGGGCTTGATCCAGTATATGCTCGAGCAGTCCAAATGAAAGAGAGGGACCCCATTACTGGAAAGATGAGAATAGCCAACCCCCAAAGTAGTAGGCTTGTGTGGGAAACTTATCTTACCGAATTTAAGTCCCTTGGCAAAGTTGCAGTCAGACTTATTTTCCTTCACGCAACTTCATGCGGTTTCAAATGCAATTGGTCTTTGTTGAGATGGGTGTGTGCCCACGGGCAGTCGAGAGTAGGAATGGAGAGGGCTCAGAAGTTGATATTCATTGCAGCTCATTCCAAGCTTGAGAGACGGGATTTTTCAAGTGATGAAGAGAAGGATGCAGAGCTTTTTGCTTTGGTCAACGGTGAGGATGATGTGCTAAATGAGGTTCTTGTTGATACATCCTCAGTGTAACATTTTTTTTTTTTTTTTTTTACTCATTTAGAAATTTAAATTTGTAGGATTTATTGAATTCTTTCACTACTATTTTTTTCCCACTTTGTATTTGTTTTATTACTCTTTAGAAGATTTTGGGGCAGTCAGGAGGAGAAAGTGGGTCATGGATAGGAAACTGAAATTTGTATTCCTGCCACTGCTCGGGGTCACACCACTTGAGCAATTACGTACCCATCTTCTATCCTAGCATGATTTTGGAGCTTCTGGATTTGCTGAAAAGAAAATCTTCTTGTTTGTAAAGATAGAAAATGCTGCATGAACAGAATTTACACAACGGGAAGAACAATGTAGAATTTTTGTTTCTCAAGTAATTTGGATAAAAAAAAATAGTATCTATATAAAGGGGAAAATTTTATGATTTCTCCTTTGTGTCTTAGATGATATCTTGTCGCTTTTTAATTGCAGTATTTGTTCAAGTTGATTTGGCCTGTGTTCCTGCTTCTGTGCGTTATCATTGTTTGAAGAACTTTTACTTTAGTTTGAGACTTGTTAACAGGCATTAGTTCTTGATTTTCTGTATAGGATGTTAATTTCCACATCTCAACCTAGATCTGGAACTTGGAATTTAGAAAGCATATCCGATAGAATTGTCTTGTAGTTTGGTTGCAATACTACAAAGGTCGACCGTTTATACCATGACTGACCATGGAATTCATCTTTTAAGGCATGTTAGCTTTATATCCGGAAAATTTACTCTCACAGATTCTCTCTAAATTTATCCAAAAGTCCAATTGAACTTCAAAAGCTAATGTGAGTTTAATGTTTGTCCCGAATCGAGGTAAGTCTAAATATTAGTCCCCTGTTTTCAAAATTCCATAAAAACTAGCAGAAATACTGTCTTCTGCGACTTGATACGGCCAGATATATGAGAAAATGCCGGCAAATACTCACTGATTTTTTATTTTTTATTACTTGAATTTGGACGTCCTTGGTTCTCGTATATGCCTATGTAGAGCTAATATAATAGGATAGATTTTCTAATAAAGGTTCTGGTCTTGCAATAAGAAACTAGGAAACTGAATCTTCATATTTCTTCTATTTTGTAGCCAAAATGAAATTTAAAGCAAACCCTTCCCCTTAATTTTATTGTTTAATTTAATTATCATATCTATATGATCTGTAGTTAAATCAACGTTAGAGTTTGTTGCTGGAAATTTGGGTACTTGACCTCAATATATATATAATTCCCCAACAGAAACGTTTAAGCTTTACTGATATAAGTGTAGAGGTTAGGATGCTGATATATTAAACCAATTAATTATTTTTGTTGAGTTGAGGAATGAGGTGAAAATAATTTATGGTATTTAATCTTTTCTATGACAGAAGGGTATGATGAGGATATGGTTGGAGTTGGAACGTGACCTTAACATGGTTATTTGCTAATTATTTTTGGAGGATGATTAAAGAGAGTTTGCAAACAGGATCCAAGGACTCGGAAATGTTACAGCATTTTGATGTCTTTTTGGTAGAAGCCAGAGTTTGGTCGATGGAGTCGGTTGGGTAGATGGCAAGCCATGTTTGGCTACGTGGGTCAACCAAAAACTTCTAGCTGAGGAGCACCTGTAACTGTTTCTTTCTCAATCTATATTTTCCTGGTTTTTGTGTATTTGAATTGAGCCTCAGGTTCAGCCCCACCATGAAACAAGCGAAGTGGCCGTCTTTTTCTAAGCTTTGGTTTTTTGTCAAGGAGAAATATATCAAAGTTTTTTCTTTCCTATCAAATCAGGTTTGGGGTAACTTCTCTTTTAAACATTCCAAAGCTCATGACGTTCATGCAGTGTCATTGGGTGATGCCCCCCCCCATGATTGCGAGAAAGGTATGGAGAGGCCCCAAAGCAACCAAGTCTGTCGCCATGAAGCACCACAGAAGATGCTTGAGAGAGATTGATTCCGCAACGAATTTCAATTCAATTTTTCAATCTATTTATGTAACTCTCCGATAAAATATTTGGTCATCAGTTAATTAATTTATATAAATAAATTTGTTTTGAGTCTTTTGACACCCAATTAGAACTGTTCACTTCGACAGCTTTGGAATATTAGCTGTCTGGCACTGCTAGACTGAGACATTGTACTACAGCATATAATTAATATTTTAACCTTATTATATCCGGGTAAATTTCTATTGACCTGATTAAATGTACAAGTGGCAAAGACTGCCTAAGTAGGTATCGTAGTTTGACAAAATATGTATTTGATGCATTGTTAGTTGGTAATGTGTATCAACTGTTTCCTATTTAAGAATGATAGGCGCTTGATAACTTTTCCGCAATAACACACCAATTTTAGTAATGAATTCACAATACAATCTTTAATTATTTTGGGGGCCTCCATCACTTTGTGCTGTAAGAATATTAAGATGATATAATAATACATAGTGCTAGCCCCTTTTTCTGTGAATTATATTGACTGTGTGGCATGGGTGCAAACCTGCAAGTATTGATTTTTAATGATAATTTTTTTTCTTTAAACAAGGTGTCTAGACAGTTTGCACACCTCAACTAATTCCTATAGGTGATTAACAAAAAATATCATCGTCATCATCAACGATTTAAATCTTAAGAGTTAGAGGAATTCGAAATTAAGATCGTACGTTTTAACTTTATATCTTTACGTTGTCCTATCACTTGAGCTACCAAAAAGTTGATTTCCAATGGTAAATGTGCAACTTAAGAGACCTATCTCAATCCCATGCATGAGTTTCATGAATTTACTCATCTAGATAGAGCAGGGAAAAACTACTGAGATTGAGTAAGAAGGAAAAAGAGTGGCTAAAAGGACACAACTACTGCGTACATTCAAGGCAAAAGAGTCTCAAAAGGAGTCATTTGACAATGGCTTCTCATCAACCATTTACTTGAACAACTCCAATTATGGAAAGTAATCACTGTACATTTTGCATCTTTTCATGGTAACTTATTTAAACACAGATTTATAATTATATATCAACAAACCATAAAACTTTGAACTCTTTCTTTCTCTCTCTTAATGGATTAAGTTTAAGATTAAGATAATTAATTAAGATAAAAGATCCATCCACACCCACCTGCACGAACAGTAAAAAGGTTGAAAATCATGCAGTAGTCTTTAACTTTATGGTGAGTAGAATAGTAGACTGATGAGTATAGTATTATTTTCGGAGGTCTTGTAATTACTCATTTAGTGGAGAGACAGAAATTCTTTATTGTCGGCAAGGGCGCAAGGCAAGGCTTGCCAACAATGACTTCTCACCAACTAAGCTCTTTCTCTTTCTCTTTCTCTCTCTGATTAAGCTTTTTTATTTACGCTATGCTTCACTCCACTCATTTTATATATATATATATATATTTTTTTTTTTTCCTTTTTTTTTTTTTAAAGGAAAAGCAAATATAATGATTAGTATAGGACGACACTCTCTTTATACAAGAATCTTTCCCTCTTCCAATGCACTGCCCTACTCAGCATCCAACTTTTCCATTTCTCTTTTATTTTAGGGTGCGTTTGTTTTCGAGATCATATAAATATCACCATGATAATTTTCGTTTTAGTTTTAAGATTTACTTATTTGGTTCGTAAGTAGTAAAATATTATAATAATCTCTTATTGTAAAAAATATTTATTGTTGATCACATAGGAGGTAATATGATTACCTATGAGTGTTATTAAAAAATTATCGAGGTAATCTGATTTTTATATCTACTTTACTCTTTAATTAAATATCATTTCGGATATAATTACTCTCAAATGTCTACTAAATAACTATTAGCTCAAACCCTCTACATTTAAGAATTTAGCTTAAACACTCCAACCACTAAAAAGTTTAAAAATTAACAAAATACTCCTAGCCACCCAAGACCACTATCGGCTGTTGGCAATAGTCGCCATATTGGAGCACGACCGATGGGATCTGGCCGTCCGTGCATCAATTTGGCTGTTTTTAGCCATATCGAAGGCCGAAAACGGCTAGATCATTGTGGATTTGGCCAAAAATGGTCAAAATAGATTTGGTCGTTTTCAGCCAGATCCATGGCGATTTGGTTGTTTTCGGCCAGATCCACGACGATTTGGTTGTTTTCGACCAGATCCACGATGATTTGGCTGTTTTCGGCCTTCGATCTAGTCGAAAACAACCAAATCACAGTCACATCTTTAGTTGTGAAATGATTAGATCTATCCATGGTTAGAAAAGACCTTACTGACGCACGATCGACAAATCCGGTCGGTCGTGCGCCATTTCGGCGACTACCGACGGTGGTGGGTAGCTACGGTCAGTGACTTGGGGTGGGTGGGGGTGATTTTGCTACAAATTAAATTTGTATATGATTGGGCTATTTTAGCAAAATTTCAAATGTAGGGGTTTAAAAGAAATGATTCAAAAAATAATAATAAAAATAATATTATATTAATAATTTAAAAGGAAGGCAATTTAGTAATCTATATAACATAGCCACCCATTTACCTCCCAACCAAACTTATCAATATAACATACCTACCAATTTATTCCAACATAACCGAACACATTTCTCTAAACATTCATAATAATTTTTATGGTAATCTATCTTTCTATTAATATAACATTCACCGTAATACAATATTCCATGAACTAAACCAATCCTTAATTGCTTAACGTATATATATAACATACCCACCAATTTACCTCCCAACCAAACATATCAATATAACATACCTACCAATTTATTCCAACGTAACCGAACACATTTCCCTAAACATTCATATGCACTATATTAATATTTCATTAAAGAGCACGTCAAATCCAAAGTATAGATATTAATAAAAAAGATAGACATAGTTTTAAAAAACTAGTACATATATTTATGTAGTGTTGAGAATACGCAAATTCATCTTAAAAGTCTAAAATTTTGCATTCTCTTTAATATTTTCTTCTCAATCTAAATTTTATAAATTCATTGTACTATAACATAACTCATGCAATCTTCAACTAATTTAAGTAACATAACATATATTTTTTGTAA